TTTTTTTTTTTTTTTTTTTTTTTTTTTTTAATTTTTTTTTTTTTTTTTTTTTTTTTTTTTTTTTTTTTTTGTTTTGTTGTCCATATTTATTTTTTAACTATTTTTACAATAAAATTAAAATTTCAAAAATTTTTATAATAAAAAATGAAATTGTAAAAACATATTTATTATAAAAAAAAAATAAAAGTTTGTGTTAATTTTTAAGGAAAAATAAACTAAAATGTATGTAGAATTTTAATTTAAAAAAATATAGTATATAAAAAAATTATTATGTCTATTTCAATTGTTATCAATAATGTGTGCATCTCAATTTGATAATATATATTATAAAAAAAAAGTAAATCAAAAAAGGTAATAAAATTGCTAGAAGAGGGACAAATATTTATACATTTTTTTTTTTTTTTTTTTTTTATATCCTTAAAGATTTATTTATATTATAAAAAAAATGTAATTTAATTTTTTTCCCTATTTTTAAAAAAACTAATAGATAAACATTTTCTTATTAACAATTTGAAAAAAAGATATTATCAGAAATGTATATAACTTTTATCAGATAAAAAAGAAAGCAATTAAATTTAAAAAAAAAAAAGAACTTGAAATATTTATAAAACACAGTATGCATCAGAAAAACGAAAAAAAAAATATATAAATTATAGAACATCTGTATTTGAAATAATACTTATATTGTAGAGATAATTATTAAAAATATAAATTTTTGTATTCCTATAAAAAAAAGGGAAATATTTAAGAAAAAAATGATATCAATAACTTTAACAAATGATAGTGTTCATGATAAGATATCTGATTTAGGTTTATCTGTGTTTATAGGTATTTTTTTGTTTTTTTTTTCAACATTTTTCTTTATTTTTTTTGTATTTTATTTTATTTTATTTTATTTTTTATTATAAAACATAATCTTTTGGTCTATTAATATATCAGGTAACATAAAAAGAACAAAAAAGTTGTTAAAAAAAAATGATATAAATTCAAAATTTATGGTAATAAAAAAAATTATAAAATAATATCTTAGTTTTTAACATAATGTCTATAACATCAAAAAAATATATTAAAATTATTTTTAAAAATCAAATAATGATTTATTATTTAAAAGAAAGAAATAACAGAAATTTTCTTTTTACATGAAGTATTTATTTATTTATTTTATTTATTTTTTTTTATTAGAATAATAATAATTTACTTCACATATGTTCTTATAATGAAGATGCTAATATGTTTTATTTTTTATTAACTAATGGATGTGATTATAAGCATATTAATGTTAAAAAAAAAAAAAAATAAAAATAATAAAATAATAAAATATATTCTAAAAAAATTAAAAGATAAATTATATACAAAAATAAGAAATCAATTTACTTTTTATTAATTTCAAGAATTTCATTTTTTTTTTTTTTTTTATGAAAAATATTAAAGGATAATGGTGATACATGTTTACACATTATTGCATTAAATAATAATTTATACTGTCTAGATATTCTTTGTCGTAATAATATTAAAGACATTATTAATATAAAAAATAAGGTGACTTAATAATTAAGATATCTTAAAATAACTCTATTTAATTTTATAATTTTCTTTAATATTATTTGGATTTTAAAAAAAAAATTTGATATTTTTGTTAATTATTGATTTTTTCTAATAAAACAGGAAGGTGATACAGCTTTACATATTTCTATAAAGAATGGATTTTATCGATTTTTTTCTTTGTTAATTAAATATGGGGCAGATACATGTATAAAAGACAATGTAATTACTTCTTTATTTTTTTTTTTTTTTTTTTTTTCCTTTTTTTAATAATTTTTTTTTATTCATTTTTATTTGATATTATTATTTTTTTTTAGTTTGATATGGATTGTTATGAATTGGTAGATCTATATAGAAAAAAAGAAAAGTTTTATGATTGTGAATCAAATACATATTCTAATATGTATAATTTACTAATGAACATAAGAAAAAAAAGTTAAAGAAATTTTTTTTACAAAAATTATCTCCACAATTTTCCACTAAAAACATACACAAATGAAATTTAATTTTATGTTTAAAAAATATGAAATTAAAAAAAAAAAAAAAAAAGAAAACTTACATATGGACTATATATATATAAATAACTTTTATATACTTTAATATTTTTTTTTTTTTTTCTTGTAAATCATTTGTGAATTTTCTTTTATTTTTTATTTTTATTTCAATCTATTTAATTTTTTTCATCTTTTTGATACATTTTTAAAGTATTGTTATGAATTTTTTTTTAGTCCATTTAACTAGTTAGAAAAAATGAATTTTTAATTTAAAATTTTTTTTAATGATTATTTTTTTCTTTTAATATAATAATGCTTCTTCATTTATTTTTTTTTTTAATTTTTTATGTATTTTTCATATTATTATATTATAATGGGTATGGATATTGTTTTTATCAATCTAAAATTAGCTATAAATTTTTTTATTTAAAAGAAGCTAATGATGATGCTAAATATTCAAATGGATATGATAGATATCTACAAGTAAAATAAATGATAAAAAAATAAAAAATAGAAATAAAATGAAAAAATATTAAAATATGTTGTAAAATGTATAAAGAAAAAAAAAAAAAAAAAAATACTCTATTTAAACGTTCTACAAGGAAAAAAAAATGAAACAGTTAAAGCAAAAAGTTGAAAATAAACCAGTTAAACAATTAAGAATAACACCAAGGTAATATAAAAAAATATAAAAAGAAATATATATATATATATATACATATATCTTTTTTTTTTAGAATTGCTATGAACGATTTATTAATAAAAATAAACTCAGCAAAACAATTTCTATTGAAAAGACATAGAGTATAAATTATTTTTCATTCATAAATATATATATATATATATATATATTTTAATTTATTTTAATATATGTTGAATTTAGGTCAAATTTATTTTAACATTAAAAGGAAGAGAATACACTAATAAAGAAAATGTAAATAAGATATTTTCAAAGATTGCAGAAGAGTTAAAAAATTTTGGTATTTCTGAAACAATACGTCAAAATGGTAATGTAGTGTCACAATTATTTAATTTAAAAGCAAAGAGAAAAAACGAGACTTAATGTATTAAAAAAAAAAAAAAAAAAAAAGGGGAATATTTTAAATATATATAAAATCTACCTTCTATATAATAAAATTAAAGTTTGTAAAAATATTTATAATAAATAAATAAAAACTTATTCTTTTTTTGTAATAAATTTCAAACCATAACTCCATATAATGATATATATTTTTTTTTTTCTTTAGATATAAATGTTTATTAAACCTTTTATTTCATAATGTGTAATTTTTTTTTTTTTTTTTTTTTTTTTTTTTTTT